GTTGTTTTAAGCTGGCCACAAAACCATACCCATATCTTTGGAGAAAAGGAGCCTACATGGATCCTATGGTTTAATAAATGACAGCCTAACCAGTACACAGCCAGTACAGATTAATCCAAGAAAAGACTTGCCAGCTGCTTTCAGTGAGGTCAAGCAAGTGGCATATTTGTTTATTGCACCACTAAACATTCATTTTTAAACTGCCAATCAGCAAATGCATAGCTATTGTATATCTAGACAGCCTCCTTTTCTTTTCTTTCCCAAAAGAAAAAGGTTGGTTCAAAACATCACAATGTGTACTTTTCACTGATAGGAGATTTCAGCGCATACTGTTTACTTGGTTGTCTGTGAAGAGGCCCACTATCCATAAATCAGTCCAGAGAAATAGAGGATTGGTTTATTACACAATGAAGATTTCCAAAAAGGTCTTAATTCCTTGTTCAGGAAATGGCACCACTGTTTACTTGAAACAGATACATTACGTGGCCTGGAGGAATTTTGTTTAAAGAGACAGACTTGCTGTCATTGTGAGTAAGAGCGTTGTATTGTTCTTGAAAATGACAATTAGGAATGTATTTTGATTTGAAGGTAATTAGCAAAATTAGGGCAAAACGCTACTCCAAAGCTTGACAAATTTTCCAAATGAGGAAAACTAAAATGAGTCCAGCTCTTGGGATAAATTTCAGATTATTCAAAAATATTGCTTAATATCAACAAGAAATCAGCTATGAAGAATTTCTGTAATTTCCATGGTATTAACTGCAATGCATTTCATATACAAATTAGCAGACCTGACAAGATGCTATGCCAACATCTTAAATCTCTCAAATTTTTTTACCCTGAGGTCAGATTAGCAAGATGTTAATGAGTAGAAAGACTACTCTCTGTCCTTTTTCATATGAACTCCCCTGCTGAATCCTCTCAGTTGCTTTTTCTTAACCACAGTACCTATAGCCCTTCCACCTTCCAGCCTCCACTCACCTCCTCAAGACCTCTGTGGACACTTCTCACCTTCTTTCTTCCCGTTTACTTCCCTGAAATGCATCAGTCCACGGGCTGCTGAACTTCCCATCAAACCTTCATGCCTTTCCCCATTCTTAGTCCTGTGCTCTTACCTACTCGGGGACACATTATACTACAGGTGCAAAATGAAGTTCTGCCACTCCAAGGATAATTTCTTTTCCAATTACCTCTAATTCTGTGTAAACTGCTGAAAGGGCAAGTATAAGCCAATTTAAAAGGAGAAAGATAAAACTGAAAAAATTTACAATTATATTACAATACACAACACTCAAAACCTTTGTCTTGAAAGAGATCATGTTCTCATGCCTCAACCCCCCATGGAGCAGAACTGACCTGTTCTACCATAGCACATGTTGTCATATGGTAACTCAGAATCCCTGCTGTATGCAGATTTTGCTGTTTGCAAGATGGGATGAGTGAGAGGCTTGTCAGACACGCAGTTGCTGTTCCAGAGTCCCCAGATAAATCAGTGTTTGTCTGGACAGCTCTAAACAATAGCAGCTGCTAACAGTCCCCCCGGGATCATTTTTTGATTTCAGATTACCAGACACAGCAGGGCATCCTTTTCTTCTTCTGGGATAATCCTTGTGCTGGGATGGAGGGGAGAAGATTTATGAACCAAATATGCAAGCCTAAGCTGAGAATTGCCAGCGTGGTAGAGACAACTAATCTGTTGGTGAATGCTCGAGAGCTTTCTGATGCTTTTGTGCTCTTTCTTGCAGGGAATCTACCTTTTGCCCTACTAATAGCAGCTCATTAATTGATCAGTGCAGGTATTATACACCAGAAAGGCTTCATTGCTGTTTATTCTGATGCTTCGTATAGTTGTTTATGCTTTCCAGGACTGTGCTGTCCTATTAGCTTCATGTGTCTGTTGTAATTTGTACTGAATCCACTCCTCTGTTCCATCTCACTTGAGAAAGCCTTTATCTCGTGTTTTTCCCACAGAGAGATCTGATTGTCAGATCCGTGATTGATTCTGTAACAATCTGATTGTTACATCCATTGATGTATAAGAACAAGAAGCTGTTGTCTGTATACCTGGGACATGATTTCAGACAAGACAGTTTTAATAGCAGCAGTGATCCTTTAAAAACTTAATCCTTTTTGGTGATATCTTTGTATTTCTTGCCAAAAATATTCTGATGCTTCAGTTATAATGTAGTGCACTCATTTTTTCTTACTAATCTTCAGAAAGTGCAGGAATCCTGTTTGAACAACGACGAAACAATTAAGATTTCAAATTCCTTAATCGGCTCAGTGAATGGCTCTCCAAAGTCACAAAAGCTTCCACAGGATTCTTATACTGCTGATACCTATTTCAAATGTGTGTCCGTGAAGTGTCAGTCTTACGGTGCTACCTAATTATTGCTTGAAGAATTCTTCGTACCTGTTGCTTGTGGTAGGAATTTCTGTACCTGTCACTAGAGGGCAACGCAGCTACTCACATCATCGCACCACTCGGATGAGTTCCCAAGAAGCTCCCTGCTGAGATCCGCCGGTGCGAAGTTCACGCAAAAATTTGCAATTTTTTCTCTACAAACCCCATGCTCGGGTGCTAACTTTGATAGTTACTTGTTGAATACTTTTGAATGGACGATCCAGAATGACGCTGAGAGGAGACTAAAGTTGCTTACAGCAGGAGACCTTGACTTCTCTGTTTATGCCACTTCCTCATAGGGATCATTGCCCGCTGCAGTGCTGAGAACAACTGCAATCAGTTTTAGACACGTAGTCCCTGATTCTGAACTTCTGATGCTAATGAAAGATTTATCACTGACTTGGTTTCAGGCAGGATTTGGTCTTTGGTACTGATTTTTACCCACAAATGCATATACCAGGATATTACTGGTCTATGTTTGCTTAAACTGACCTTCTGAAAAGTGATTCAAATGCAGTAGGTATCTGAGTTCCATACAGGCTGGGAAAAAAAAAGAAAAAAAAAAATTTATTCAGTCACATGTTACTCAAATATTGCCAAACAGGCAGACTTGCCTTAACTCGCATCACCTGAAATGGAAACAATCTATCATTTTGAACACTCCTAAATGCAATAATACTCTCATTTAACGATGACTATCCTGGCTACATTAAAGGGTGATGCAATTTCCAAATGAGATAACGCCGTGTGATTATCTAGTATAAAAGGTGAATTTAGTCATTTCACTGAGATAAAGATTTTACACTCCCTATGATTTTTGCTGTGTTGCCAACACCTACTCTGCCTTGGAGTCAGAGTTGTCTGATTTCATGTGATTATCTCAGGAAGGTTTCCAAGTACGTTTTTGTTGGATTACCACCTATTTTCTTCCCTGCTTATTCAAGTGGTGTCTCTCGGTCATCTTTCAAGGAGCATATAAATATGTATATTTAAGTCAAACAAATTCAAACATGAAGTTCACATATTGACTCCTTCCTCCTGCTTCTCAGCAGACACGTTTGCAGTGTAACCCCACAATTTTTCTCCCATTCCACATAGCAGGTAACTCTAATCAAAATCAACTATCAACATTTTTTTTTTTTAATAAAGAAGGTAAAAGACATCCATATTTAGGTCTTTCAAGAATTTTCTTTAATGATGAGAGAGAGAAAGTCTTGTCAAATTATAAGAGTTAAAACATGGTGAAGTCAGTGTATGGGAGAAAGGCTCTGGATCTGTTCCCCTCCCCTAGAATACCATGCTAGAAGGAACACTGTTCAACAGAAATACATTATATATCTCTTTTAACCAAGTAGCCTTGTACTTTGCATACATCTCATGTCATATATGATATGTAAGTCCCTCCCATGAACTAAGAAGGGCCTGGATGTGGATATCTTCCATTTTCACATATATATGTTTCTCTTACATCGGGATACTACATATACTTGTATTAAAATATAGTTTCAAGATTTTTTCTTAAAGCTTTTGGGTAAAAAAAAGGTATTTTTTAATTTAATGGTAACTTTCTGTTTAATAAGAACTTTTATTAACACAGTGTCTTCTATTTGGAATGCAGGACTTGTTATTTGGGATTGGCTCATACCTTCCCTTCCTTCAACATCCTTTTCTGACATTGACCGGTATGGTAAACTTCAGAAGAAGGCAGCTGAAATCCCACTGCTGGTTATAATTTTTTTTAAATAAAAATTATACAGCATTTACAACAGTTACATTCTAACACTCAGCTATATCCACATTTATATTTTGAAATAAACATAAACACTGTCTTAGTTTTTGTTGCTGGAGGCCAGTTTCACTTTCTTTCTCTTAGCCCTTTTCAATCTTAAAGACAATAAAAGGTGATGAAAAAGTCTTTGTGGTGAATCCCAAGACTGAGATATCCCCAGGGCAGTGTGGTTAGTGCAGAACGAAGAAAGGCATTTAATTCTGTAGATAGAATCCAGTCCTTTCAGTAAGTGAATACAACCCTATTAAAAACTCATCGTAAAACAAAACAACAACAAAACCCGCTAAGCACAGATTTTGTTGGATTTGCAGATAAATTCTCTCACGAGTCCCTATGCATGCAGAAGGTTTTGTCTGCTGCCGTCTGATCACACACCAGGAACACACAGGGGCTGAGGGGATTTATTTTAACAACCCTTCTTCTGAATCGAAACACGACCCAAAATCAAAATGTGAACTTTTGCGCCCCCGGACGGTTTTGGGTTTGGTTTGTTTACGGTTTTTTTTAACCCTCTGGTAAGAAAAACGAGAAAAACCCATCAGGGATTGATCAATAGAGGACAACAGTGAGGGCTGCGCCGCCCGCCGCGGCGCTGGACGGGAGTCGCGCCCCGTGCAGGTGAGAGGTTTTGGCGGGGCGGGAAGGAGGGAGGGGACAAGGAGAGGGATGTCTCCCCTCTCCCCGGCCCTGGGGCGGGCCGGGGGGACCTGAGTGGATGGGTCCCGCGTCAGTCAGGGGCAGGGCGAGGCCGGCGGCGGGGGATGGCGTCCCCCGCCCGGTGTGGGGCTGCAGTTGTGGAGGAGCGGCGGCACCATGCGGGCGGCCGCCGGGGTAGGGCGGGGAGGCACCTGCTCCCTGAGAGGGCAGGCGGGAGGGCTCCCTCCGCGGGATTGTCGCTATCTCGGCTTTGCTGCCGCTGCGACAATCCCGCGGAGGGAGGCTCATCCAGCGCTGTTCGGTTCATCCCTTTCTTTCTAGGACGTGGTGGGCATCCTCTGCTTGGTTTCTGTGGCGGCCACGCTGGATTTCAAGTACCACCACGCCGAGGAGCTGGAGAAGTACCTGAAGGGGGTTCACGCCGAATACCCCTCCCTCACCCACTTGCACAGCATCGGGCGATCGGTGGAAGGTAAGGCGGGGGGAGCGGAGAGGGGAGAGAAGGCTTTTTGTTTTAATTAAATTGGGACAAGTGAGGGTAAAGGTGGCTGCGGTAGCGTTTCGTGGGCGCTTGCTGGCGGCGGGGCTGCTCTAACAAATCTCTGTGAAGTTTCCTCTTCCTCTTCCTTAAGCGTGAATAACACACTCTGGCTGAAGAGTCATACGTGTTATCGGGGTAAAAGTTCTCCCAACACCTACATGTCTTTGAGAATTGGAAACCTCCTAAGTGGCAGTTTCAGAAAGAGGGCTGTCTTTAAGGAGTTTAAAATGTGTAGGACCCATTTGCCAAGTGCCTGTTCTACGTGGGACTGCAATAACACTGTGTTTTCTAACTTGTGGTTTTGTTAAAAATACCTTCTTTTTTTGTTTGTTTGGTTTTTAACTTTATCCATTATTCCAGTAAATCTGGACTGACTAGAAAAAGGATTTCAAATTCCATACTGATAAAAGGTTCTGTGCTTTAAATGAAGAATGGGACTTCAGTCTCAAACCTTACAGAAAAATGTACTGAAATCAATAATCACCTTTCTGGCCTTATATAAATATTTGATTTTATCTCTTTATGACTGGTACTTTCTTACCATAAATTTATTGGAGGGGAAAGAATTTCTATTTTTTTTAAAGATATTAGAAAGATTAGTGTTTTGTTAGCAAGTAAAAACCACTTTAGTAGATTCCAGTTCAGGAAACTAAGTTACTTTGATAAGAGGTACAAAACTAGATAGAGAATTCCTTCTTTAGAAACATCATCTGTTCCTCTAATCCCATTTCATACCACTGGAAGGAGACAGTTGTAGCTTCTATTATCAAATCTGTGCTTGAGTTTAAAAAAAAAAAATCTGTGTTCTACTTGGTAGATAATCATGATGAATGCTAGTATTTCCTTTTCCTGCTTCCTTCTTTGTTTTACCATGTATATCATAGTAGACAAGGAATGTAAAGTTATTTAAACTGTGTTGTTATTGATTTCATCAAAGGCAGAATTAGATTGGATTGTGTTATTCATGCACGCAAGAGAAGACTAGTTCCTGTGAGTATAGTTCCCTCCAGTACAAACTACCAATTATCCACATCCTCATTTTCCTACCTTAAGGGAACTTAGCTAACATTCTGATGATAGGAATAGATCCTGACTTTTCTGCCAGGAACTCTGCTGGCTTATCTTCATGCAGGTAGGAAAAAACCTTTCATCCAACCTGAGAGATTGAAACTCTGGCTTTTACATATCTAGATACATTAAAGTTGATAACATGAAGTGTTCAACTTGTCTTTGTTCCATCAGGATGGAAACTGGAAATTCATCATCTCTTGCTTTTGACTGAGCAATGCACTGAAACATCATTCAGATTTTGATACATTGCCTTCTGCTTTGCCAAACTTAGTGAGAGGAGAATTGTGTGGGCTTTCCTTGTTCTGCCAACTACATGACATGATTCATGACTGTGTGCCTGCAGTGTTTTCCTGAATGGAATAGGTGGGCAGTGGAAAGTTTTTCAGTGCCATGTAAAGCAGAATGGTAGTGAAAAATGTTCAGTGCTTCTCTTTTATCTCATTGTAAATGTTAAGAGATTTCTACCTGTGTTAAGAAATGTGCCTTCAGAGTCCCCTGGAATGTGGCACAGAATGGTACTGAATTAGGGTCTAATTTCCCTTCATTTCTTTTAGTGAAAAAAAAAAAAAGTTTTATGACAACAGTGGTTATTTAATTTTGGTGAAAATGAAGTTTCTATTTTGGTCGATGGGCTGAAGTTCTATTCCTCTTTTCTCAGTTAAGCTGACACAAACAAGACTGTATGTGCATGCACTTACTTTACTAGTGTTGTCTCTCTGCCAATTAGCATTAAATCATGATAGCAAAATGTACTTATTTAAATTAATTTCCACTTCTCATTATCAATAGCATAAGACTGAGATCAATGCAATGTAGTAAATTGACATTCCTGATATGGAAATTCTTGATGATGAATACAAAATCCCATGGATCAAAGTAGTGTCTATAAAGCCAACAGACATAATTTTACTGTTATCATAAATGGCTACTGTTCCCATATTATTTGTTATTCTAGGGCTTACTACAATTTTATCTAATAATCTAGTATTTTATTCTACCATCTAGATTTAGATTATGAAGAATGTTTGACTACTCTGTGTGTAGACACAGAGCTCTGCCAGGGTGTGGAGTCTTCTTGCAGAATCCTACAGTTTAGGTCTGGGGCCCATCTAGTCTGAGCTCCTATTCAAAGCAAGGCCAATTTGAAAGTTAGATTATGATGCTCAGGGCCCTCTCCACTCAAATTCTGAATATCTGCAAAGGTGGAGATTCTAAAGGGTCTCTGAGTACCTGATCCAGTGGTCAACTACCTTTGTTGTGCAGATGTTTTCCTTTTTCTGATTAGAATTTCCCTTGCTATGAGTAATGTTAACTGTCCTTTTGCTGTGTGCCTCTAAAGGTTTGGCTCTGTCTCTCTATAATGTCCCTTTATTTATTGGAAGATTGTAGTTGTATCCAGGCTAAACAGCCTCTCCTCAGACACAATGTGATCATCTCAGTGACACTCTGCTGGACTTCCTCCGATGTGGTGTTGTCTCTCTTGTGTCCAAGAACTCATAGCAGGGCATGGTACTCCAGATGTAGCTTTAATAATGCTGAGTGGAGGGGAATATTAATTTCTCTCAAGATACTGGTTTCAGTTCTTGGTAATGCACCCACCCCAACACACGGATGTTTTTTTCTGCTGTGAGAACGCATTAATGACTCACATTTATCTTGTCTACCTGGACATTGATCCCACATCCTGCAGCCTCTAGGCTGCACAGCTGCCACCTAGCCAATCTGCAACCTGTACAAGCATGGGGTTCATGATCCAAATATGGTTCATTCCAGGTGCGGGATTTTGCATTTACATTTGTCAGACTTAATGAGCTTTCTTTTGAAAAATTCCTACAGCTTGCCAAAGGCCCCTCTGAATGGTAGCCCTGTCCTTCCTGAAGATATTAAACAGTATCAGCTTCAGTATTGACCGTTGAGGAATGTTGCTAATGATTTGCTGTCTCTTGAACCACCAGCTGCTCAGTTCAGCCAGCTTGTGACCTTACTGTAGTCTACTCCTTTATTCCATATGTTCCCATCTTGTTTTCGAAGGTACTGTGAGGGTGACTAGGCACTGGAACAGGCTGCTCAGGGAAGTCATGAGGTCTCCATCCTTGGAGATATTCAGAAGCTGTCTAGACACAGTCCTGGGCAGTCCTGGGTGTAGCAGGCCCTGCTTGAGCAGGGGGGTTGGACCAGGTGACCTCTGGAGGTCCAGTCCAGCTGACCCTGTGATTCTGTTGAAAGCCTTGCTAAGGTCAAGACTAAAGAGATAGGGTGCTTTCCTCCTTCCCACTAAGCCAGTCATTTCTGCATAAAACCTAAGCAGTCAAGTATGATTTGTCAGTGATAAATTTTAGGTGAAATTTACAAAGTGGTTTTATTTGATGTATGTAGACAGCAAAGTACGCAGCAAAATCAGTACCAAGATCCTCAATGGAACGCAAACTAAAAGAAGCCCAGTCTGTTTTGTGATGGTTTGCATCGCCATATAGAAATTCCCCTCTGACAGATTACTGGGAAGAATGTGTTTGAGACTGGCAATGGCCTGTTCAGTCTCCAGGTTTGCACATTTGGAAGCCATGATATTTAATTATGCATCTTCTCTGCTAAGCTATTATCCTTAAACAAGGCGGGAAAGGAGCTTAAAAAGATGTAGCCCATTGGCTGACAAAACTGAGTGTTATGTGTTTGATCTAATTTAGTGAGCATCCTCAAATCCTTCAAGATTTGTAGGCGATCTACATGTTTGTGAGAGACTTGATATGGTCTTAGCGGCCAGTAGGCAGAGATGTGTGACGGCCCAGAAAATATCTTAATTCTTTTATATTGTTTCAGGTGTGTTGTTGAATAAACTCATAAAAGATCTTTGGCAGGAGTTCTGTTTTCTAATACACCCAATCTCAGAACGGCATGTGCTCTGTATAATAATAGAGGAAGCTGCAGAGCTACATCAATCTGGAGAATGTGACCTGATGTAATCATATTAACCTGTCCTGCCTAATGCCACTCCAGTGAAAAACAGACTGACTCTTCAGCAAGCAAATCTTAGAGTCCATTAGCAAAAAGAAAATATCTGATGTATGCATGTGATCTGTGGCTTTTCATTGTTCAAGATACAGTGCTGTTGTGATCCTTTGAAAAGAAAATGAAGGTGGTGGGAAGCAGACTTGAGGATTCTAACAGACCTGATGACCTTCTTAGGAGGACAAAGACAAGCAACTCTTGAAAGAGCCAAGTGACTTTCATAATAGATCCACACTCTTTAAAAACTCTTTTCAGATACTCTCTGGATTCAGATAAAGCCAATTATAGGTTGGTTTAGATCTAGATTTTCTGGAGGCCAGTCTGCATTTTTGGAATTCCAGTCAACTTGGAACAATTGTAAACATCCTTAGGCCAGATTCTCCTCACTGAGCAAAAAGTTATGTTTGGTTAAAGTACTTCTGTCTTTACCTAGTGAAGTTTCAAAGTTGATTTCATAGATTGACATCTCTGGCAGATTCCATCGTTGGAGAGTCAAAAACTAAAACAAACTGACCAGATTTAATTCTGGTTCCACTAGAAATTCTCAGAAATATCTTGCAAAAAACTGTCCTGAAAGCTTATTTAGGTGAGAACTATGTGGTTTAGTCATCCTATTCTGATGCTTAGTATTCAATTGCTCTCTCTATTGCCCTTGGCCTGGCACATTCTGTCCATTAATCTTAAGCACCTTGCTAACTTTGATTTTTTAATTTTCTTTATTTTGTGAATTAGTGAATATCGCTTATTAGCATTCTGCTACCCCTGCTCTATAAGCGGAGAGGCTGAAACATGCAGGGGTGTGTGTATGGTTGGTGTGGGTTTTAAAGTTCCTGGAGGACTTGCCCATGGCTGAG